CTACAACCTTGGAACTTTCTCACACCCTTCAATCTCATCTCTTTTCTCAGTTTTTGCTCCTCAACATGTTGACCATTGAATGAATATATGTTGCAGAGCAACACATGGACAGGTGCATTTAGTGGTTCCAGCTGAAGAAATTTTTCAGCAGCACGTTTAGCAACTTCAGCATTTGTATCACCGAACCCGCATACACCCAGTAAAGCTCCCCAGATAGCCTTATTGGGTTCAAAAGGCAGTTTTAAGACGAAGTCCTCAGCTTCCTTCACTTTGCCAGCTCGACCCAGGAGATTGACCATGCAAACATAATGCTCCACACTAGGCTGAATGATATAAACATCATTCATCACATTAAACAACTCCAAACCCTGATTGACAAGACCTGCATGACTAAATGCTGATAGAATGGCTAAAAAAGTAACTGAATTTGGATATGTTCCACTTTTCAGCATTCCTTCATAGATCCTTAGAGCTTCATTTGCCAGTCCATGATGCGAAAACCCCATAATCATGGAATTCCATGAAATCAAATCCCTAACTTCCATTTCTGAGAATACAGTATATGCATCATCGATTACCCCACATTTTGCATACATTGAGATTAGAGAATTCCCGAGTATCAAGTCAAACTTGCTCCATGTTTTCAGCAGCATGCAATGGAGCTGCATCCCTTCATCAAGATTGGCTGTCGCTCCAGCAGCTCCAAAAAGCACAGAATATGTAGAGCTTAGGGGTGAAAAACCATCTGCTCTCATTTTCAGAAACAAATAGGTAGCTTCTGCAAAAAGTTCATTTTGGACAAGTCCAGAAATCATTGCAGTCCATGCTACTGCATCTCTGTTTGGCATGTTGTTAAACAATGAACGAGCTCTTGGTACATCTCCAACACCTAGGTATCCATCAACCATTGACGTCCATGAGATCTTATCCCGGACAGGTACTGTGTCAAACAAATCTTGAGCCTCTTCCAACTGCCCAATTCTAATATAACCATTAATCATAGAATTAATAGACTGAACCACACAATTACATGAGTGCTTGTTAAACAGATAACGTGAATAATCCATTATACTAAATGAAGAGTACATGTGAATGAGGCTCCTAGATAGCCTGCCATCATAATCATCAAACTCCATACCATTAACAATAACTTGAGCATGTACTTGCTTTCCAAGACGAGGAAAACGAATACAACCACAAGCATAGGCCAGTGACATGAAGGTCTCTCCATTCGGTCTTGTGTCAGTGTTCCCCTTCATCTCAAGAAAAAGAAACAAGGCTTCTTCAGAGAAGCCATTCCAGGCAAATCCCCCAATCATAGCTGTCCAGGAAATAACATTCCTCTCAGGCATTCTCCGAAATAGATAGTAAGCCTCACTGACATCACCTCCTCTACAATAACCTGCTATCATACTAGTCCAGGTCACCACATTGCGTTCATCCATCTCCTCAAACATCACCTTAGCATCTTCAATCCTATAATTTTCTGCATATCCAGAGATCATAATGTTCCAAGAAATCACATTACGGACTGGCATAGCATCAAAAACCCGTCTCGCCTCTTCCAATTCACCATTTCTAATCAGCGCAACAATCATCACATTCCATGACACAACATTCCTCTGTGGAATCTCATAAAACAGCCTCTTAGCCTCAACATCCCTCCCTGAATCGAATAACACAGAAAGCATCAAAGTCCACGACACAACATTCCTGTCTTGCATCTCCTCAAACAATCTGCAAGCCTCAGTAAACCTCCCACATTGTGCATACCCAGCTAACATTGTATTGTAAGTGACGATATTTCTCTCAGGCATGATATCAAAAAGCGTCCTAGCTTCATCAACAAAGCCATATTTTGTGTACTTGGAGAGCAATGAAGTCCAATGGACAATACGGTTGTGGCGGCCTCTTTGGGACATTCTATCAAGCAGGTTGCGTGCCTCTTGGAGGCGATGATTGTGGAGTTGAAACAGAATTTGAGAATCATTCTGTGCGAGTTTCTGGACATGGGTTCTAGAGAATGATCGCAGACGAAGAGAACAGTGGAAATGAAGATGGAATGAAAATTTTGGTAGAGAGAAAGCAAGAATCTTGACGCTGAAGGCAAGCATCAAATACTGGCCTGTTCTTTCATGGGAGGCGTACTTCTTGAAGCAGACGGAGTGAAGATTTTTCGTTTTTTTCGGCCGGCATCAAATTCCCTTTATTTTTTCTTCGGTCTGAATATTAAATTAATTTTTTGACTATTTTTTAATATTCAAACTATGTATGTCTTAAATTTTTTTATTTCTTTTACTTTAAAATATATATATATATGTTTTATTCCACGGTGGTTAAATACCGCTAATAAATCTGTCACGTCGCAATAAATTATATACATAACTATTTTAATTTATTTATAAAAAATATTTTAATCTTCAATTTTAATAGTATAATAAAAAAATTAAAAAAGTAAACATATAAATTTTTTTAAAAAAAATTAATTCTTCCAACTTTTACCACTAGTAAAATTGTTATGTTGCAACAAATTAGACTATTTCTGATTGAATAAATCTTGTGTAGAATATATTTTAGTTTTGGAGTTTATTTTTTATTAATTTTATGTCATTAAATTCTTTTGTGATTTTGTTGTTATATTAAAAAATAATTAAAAATTAAAATATTTTTACATATTAAATATCATGAGACATTTAAAGTAAAAATTTATCTAATAAAAAACTGTTACATGTTTAACTTCTTGTTGAGTAGCAAATTCAGTAGCAAATTCATGAACTATTAGTAACTTAATCGGAAAATTACTAATTTATATATTTTTAAAAAATAAAATGACTACAAAAGTAAAAAAGATTAGTACATAGATTAATTCGAATATTTAAAAATAATATATGAACTAATTAAGTATTTAAGTTTATTTTTTATTTATGTACTTTGAAATCTAGGCTATACTCGGGTTAATTTCAAGTCAAATTATTATTTTTATTTGTGAATTTTCACTCATATTATAATTTCATTTTAGAAAATTTTCTTGTTATATTTTACTATTTAAAATTTTAATTCTGTTTTATATGATCAGTTTAATTAAATTTTTTAATTTTTAAAATGATAAAGGCAAAAGTTCATTTAAATCTTGTTTGGGAGTAAAATGAAAATAAATTTTTATTTTTTTATAGACATGAATTAAGTTTTAAGAATGACTTTTAGGGAGCACTTGATAGAATTAGGAAGAATTTGAAATGCATAAATATTTATTCGTAATTGACACTTGAGAGGAAGAGGTTTCGATTTAAAATGCATGAGGTACTCAAATTAGAAAGGAATAAGAGAACTTTTGGGAAAGAAAATTCGATTTTGAGGTGCAATTAAGAGCTTTAAAAAGAAAAGGGTTTAGAAGAATAAATTGAGGGAAAGGTGCTTAAAAAATGGATAACCAATTCTACGTAAGTAAGAAAAAGGATTTTAAATAAGAAGACGTTGAGAGCGAAAAACAAAATATTTAAGAAAAGATACTTCACTCTATAAATTAGGAGTAGAGAGTTCTAAAAAAAAGAAAGAACTAAAAAAGCAAAAAACCAAACTAAAAAAACATAAAATTATACATGAATTTTGAATCGTGTTGGATTTGAGTTGTTTCACAAAGTTGGCTTCAAATTTTCTTTTCTTTTCGCCTTAATATTTTTTTACTATTTTTTAATAGTGAAACTAATTTATGTGTTAAATTTTTTTTAATTCTTATACTTTCAAAAAATATATATGTATTATTTCATATTCGTTAAATATTGATAATAGATTTATTTATTGTAACAAATTAAATAAGTGCCTATCTCTAATTAAATAAATATTTTGTAAAAATATTTTAATCCTTAACTTTTTAATATAATAAAAATTTAAAAAGTAAACATATAAAACTTAAAGAAATTAATTCTTTTAACTTTTACAGTTAGTGAAATTGTTATGTTGCTAATTGCAAGTGTGAGTATTTTTAATTAAATAAATTTCGTGTAGAACACATTCAAGTCTTTAATTTTTTAAGATAATAAAAGATTAAAAAGTAAACATACAAAAAATTTTAAAAAAATAATTCTTCCAACTTTTTTGAAGAGAAACATTACCACGACCCATAGGAGTCTTGGAATTTAGTTTTTATTAATTTTATATTTTTAATTATTTTTATAATTCTGTTGTTATATCAAAAATAATTAAAAATTAAAATATTTTTACACTTCAAACTTCACAAGACATTTAATACAAAAATTTATCTAATAATCATATGTTCAACTTATTGTTACATGACAAATCCATTAACAATACTTGAGATATTTAGTGAATAAATATTAATACACATAACTAAAAAAGTTCAAAAAAAAAAAAGTATATAAATTAATTCAAATATTTAAAAATAATACACAAATTAATTTAATATTTAAATTTTTTTTAAGTACTTTGAAATCTAGGCTACACTAAGTTAATTTCAAGTCAAATTGTCATTTACGTTATTGAATTTTTACTTACATTATAATTCAATATTTTTTTAAAAAAAGTCATTATATTTTACTATTTAATTTTTATTTTTGTTTTACATGATCAGTATAATTAAATTTGTTCGATTTTTAAAATGATAAAGACATGTTGTTTGGGAGTAAAATGAAAAATAAATTTTATTTTTTATATACATGAATTAAATTTTAAAAATTACTTGTATAGGAGCATTTGATAGAAATTAAAGAAAAATCTCAAATTAAGAAGAAATTGAAATGCATAGGTATTTGTTTGTAAGGAGTTGACACTTGATAGAAAAGAGGTTTTATTTAAATTCAGAGCAAATTAGAAATGAATACGAGAACTTTTGGGAAGAAAGTTCAGTTTTAAGGTGCAGTTAGGAGTTTTAAAATAAAAATTAGAAGAACGATTCAAAGCAAAAAGCTTAAAAATCAAGAAGAGGTTGAGAGCATGATGTATTCAAATTAGAAATGAACCAAAGAGCTTTTAGGGAAGAAGGTTCGGTTTTGAGGTACAATTAAGAGTTTTAAAATTGAAAAGGGTTTAAAAGAACAAACTTATAGCAAAGGGCTTAAGAAATAGATAATCAATCCTATGCAATTAAAATCAAAGAGTTTTAAATAAGAAGAGGTTGAGAGCAAAAAATAAAAAAATAAAAAAAAAAGATATATCACTCTAATAATTGATAGTAGAGGGTTTTAGAGAAAAGAAGGCTTAGAAAAACAAAAATGAAATTAAAAAGCATAAAATTTTATGTAGAAATGACA